TCAGTGAGCAGACCATGTACTGTTCCATAATATTAGCAAGGTTTCTTTAAGACTGTACTGCACTCTCTAAGGCCTGCAGCCTGAGGCTGGTAAAGGGGGTGGGGAGAAGAGGTGGGTTTTACTGAATGCCTTTTCAAGAGCCCAGCACCGTGTATTTTCAGAAATGAAGTAAGTGCCTAGGTTACTATTAGTAATATCTGGAACTCTGAAGGGAAAAAGAAGTGTCTTGATGATGCCCATGTTGTGGCTTCACTGGTACCATGTCTGGAAGGATAGATGAGTAATATTCCCTTCTAAGTGTCCACCACGGTCAGAGAATAGTAAGAGTCCTCTGCAGAGGGAATCAGTGACCCCATAAAATCTATTTGACATTGGTTAATGGACAGTCCCCAGGGAAATGAGCCTCATCAACTGTATAGACAGTGGCACATTTTCCCACAATGGTACATGAGTTAGTCACTACGGTTATTCATGGCTGAGGAGAAGGAGAGTCCCTTTCATTCTTCTCAGAACCTCAGGGCAATAGCTTCTCTGTGACCTGATATTTCATGGGCCCACCCATCCAAAGTTACATCAGAGCTGAGGTTGTGCCAATATGTGTCTCAGAAATCAAAGCCAATTTATCTGCCTGTGCATTGCAATGAGCCCCTGAAAACTGAATTTTAGTATGTGTGGCCTTGATGTGTATTTTGGGTATCTGAGAGGCAAGAAATTCCCACAGTTTTTTACCCCAATAGAAATATGGGAACCTTAGATAAGGAATTGTTGTTGCTGCCATTAGTCAGACCAGATAACCATACCATTGACGAGGCCTACAGGCTATAAAAATGTGCAGAAAGGGACCAAGTATTGGCCAGGACACTCTCTAGTGCTAAGATAACTGCTGACCTATGGGCCCCATCCTTGATTAGGGATGTCCCAGTTAGGGAATGGAAAGCAGCAGCTCTTCAGTAGGCTCTATCATGCATGACAGTGGTGCTGGCATCTATAACAGATACAAACTCCCTTTCCTAATCATTCAGTTAATCCCAATGGGGTTCCTAGGTAGCCAGCAGATATGGGAGACAGGTAACCTCTAGGCACTATTGCATCTATCAAAGAATTGAGAACCTACAGGTGGGATATGCCAGAGGGCCCAATTTGGCTCCATAATTAGCATTTTCCTTTTACTAATGGCCATGCTAGGTTTCTGGAGTGCTGTCTCAATGACCAAAGGCACAATGGGCAACTGGGTTCAGAGAATCACAAGCTCAGGACCTGTGAAAGCATTTATCTCAAGAAGAGCCCACTATACAACCAACAGTTGCCATCCTAATGGTGTGTTGATTCAGCCAAGGAAAACAGTTTCTTGCACTAGAAGACTATGAACAATTTAAGTCCACCGTGGTGGATCCAGAAACTCCAGAAGGAATGTAAACAGGTTGTTGAAGTCTCTACAGTGAAGGAGCTTCTGGGGGACACCAATGGAAATGCCTATTTTATTGCAATTTTGACAGACTCTAGAGCCTTTTGTCATTGGATGGCCCGTTCAAAGTGAGCCAATTTGTAACAGCATAATGAATTTAAATAAAATATGTAAATGAGAAAGATGTCACCTCTGAAAACCCAAATAAATACAGTAAATCTTGAGTCTACTTTAAAGTAATAAGTGCTCATGTCAGTGAAGAGTTGGTTCCTTACTGAACCAGATATGGATCGTGCCTGGACTGACAAGTAATGTCCAGAAATTTTACTGAAGTAGCAGTGCTTTGAATTTCCCAGGAGGCAACGGCCTACCCCAACTGGAAAGCTTGAATTTCCTTTCAGGAGGATGTTATCAATATAATTTCATACCCGTGTTCTTGGAATAAGTTGAACGTGGTTAAGATCTATAAAGGTATGGGCATTGGCAAGGCTCCCCAAATATCCCACAGAGAGGTGAGTGAAAATCTATAATTCCTGGGGCGCCTGGGTGGCTCAGTTGGTTAGACGACTGCCTTCAGCTCAGGTCATGATCCTGGAGTCCCGGCATCAAGTTCCACATCGGGCTCCCTGCTCAGCAGGGAGTCTGCTACTCCCTCTGACCCTCCTCCCTCTCATGCTCTCTCATTCTCTCTCACACAAATAAATAAAATCTTAAAAAAAAAAAAGAAAATCTATAATTCCCTCAAAGGTAAAGAACTACTCATAGAGTAGAACATATCAGCCAAATCTATAACAGCAAAATATTTTCCAGTTGCTGATTCCTATCAATTTCAGTAAAATTACATATGCAAATCTTAATGGAGGCTATGATGGCATTAAGGTTATGGTAATTCACTGTGAAGTAAATTCATTTATTTCAGATTTGAGCACAGGCCAAACTGGGTTATTAAAGGGAGAGATAATAGGAAGAATGAGTAAGCTAGGCATACCAATCCCCAGGGATCTCACTCCATTGCTTTCAACTTGACAAACATCCTGTCTGCAGCAGATTCTCTCATGGAACCCATTATCGTGGTCTCTCTGGACCTTCTCTCCTCAGCCATATGTTCACAATTTGTTCTCAAAGTCGTCAACAATTGAGGTTCGTGTGAAGCATTTAAATTTAAGTCCACAGGGCATGTTTAGCTTCTTCGGGAAATCGTTCCCCAGGTGCCTGTTCTCAAGAGCAGATAAAACCTGTGTCACTCTGCCTAACATAGAAACTGCAGAGAAGCCCAAACCCTGCCTTCTGACTTCAAAATAATCTCCCTTAGAACCAAAATATTAAGGAATTTTCCATCTATCAAAGTCCATTCTTCTATCACTGCTGGGGTGAGAGTTATTTATTTATTTGTTTTTCTTTTTTATTATATATGTGAAGGACTGTGTCTTTCAGAAACTGATTGGATTCTGGTTTGGATTCATAGAATGGAGGTAATACACTTCCTAGATAAGCCCCCCACACTTGGGTACTTTCGTTAAGAGAAGAGTACAATGTTTACATGCGGAATCTAGGAAACAAACCAAAAAACAAAACAGAAACAGACTCATACATACAGGAATGAACTGATGGTTACCAGAGTAGGGAGAAGCTGGGGGGAGGGAAGCAAAATAGGTGAAGGGGATTAAGAGGTACAAACTTCCAGTTATAAAATAAATAAGTCACAGGGATGTAATGTACAGCATAAGTGATAATCAATAATGTTCTAATAACTTTTATGGTGGCAGACAGTAACTAGACCTATTGTGGTGACCATTTCATAATGTCTAAAAATATGAAATCACTATGTTGCATACTTGGAAATAATGTAATATTGTATGTCAATTATAATTCAATTTCTTAAAATAATTAAATAGCCACTTATGGCTCACAAAAAGAGAGAGAAGGGTAGAATGTTGATGGGAAGCCCATAGATAGCATGTTAAATTTGGTATCAGAGACTCGCATGGCTCCTCTCACCTTTGATTTACCTCTTAGGAACAACAAGGGAAACATCTCATTGCAGTCATTCAGATTGCCAAGGGTGTGAGCACTGTATGTTTTTAAAGTCACTGATGTTATTGTTCTATAAATGTGGATCATGAAGTCCATTAATTGTGGAAAATCAGGATGAAAATGCAGTACTTGCCAAAGACCACAGGTTAGTACAAACAGGAAAGGGAGGGCTGAAGGCAAATCCAGGTCAATGTTTATATCACCTAGCGCTTCCAGCAGCTGTATGGAATAATGGGGAGATTGACAAGACCAATTCCGAAGATATGATTTTTTTCTAACCTGTATGCATGTGAATTAGAGGGGCCTTTTCTATTGTCTTTGGCTCTGAATCAGAAAAATCCAAAAATGCACAAAGAACACCATCCCCAAAGTTTCCTTACTTGGGGATTACCAATTTATCTACAAAGGACTCTTCTTTTCAGAAACATGAATGTCCCTCTTCCTGGTTTCTATAGGCCAAGAATAGAGAACAGGAAACATTGAGGCATGATAAACTGTCATCCTTAGTTTGCCATTGAGGACTCTTCAAGACTTTGAGAAAAATCCACTCTGAGTTGCTGCCTGTGGATATCTCAAGATCTCAATTCTCAGAGATATATCCCAAATCTACCTACAAGACTTTGACCATGCAGAGAAACATATAAGAAATGCTAATTAATGATTTATGGACACCAGAGCCTTGTTCATATAGTCAAAAATGCTCACAATATATTAGAGAGTACCAAACCAAAGACCTTAAAGGCCTATTACAAATTTATGCTTCCAAAGAAATAGGGGTGCAGAAAAAAATCATTTAGGCAACAAAACCTTCAACCATATCCATGTGAGGAATTCCCGACTGGTTGCTGAAACAAGGAAGTCAGAGGTTTGGACAATAATGGAGATGAGGATGTATGGCAGAGAGCCAGTGAAACGTCAAACAGCACAGGGAAGAGGGAAGAGCACAAGGAAGGAAAAGAGAGGCACAGAAAAGAGAATCTGATAGAAATAGTTCTACCAAGAGCACAGAAGTATGAGAAATTAATAGAGTCAGAGGAAAGTGACTTAGATGTGGAAATTTTGTAAACATTTTGGGATTTTTTTATTTTAAAGATTTTATTTATTTGAGAGAGAGAATGAGATAGCGAGAGAGAGCATGAGGAGGGGAGAGGCAGAGGGAGAAGCAGACTCCTTGCTGAGCAGGGAGCCCGATGCGGGACTCGATCCCGGGACTCCAGGATCATGACCTGAGCCGAAGGCAGTCGCTTAACCAACTGAGCCACCCAGGCACCCCAACATTTTGGGATTAAAGGGTAGGTTCAAAATGTTATTCTTCTGAAAAAAAAATTGAGTATTCTGTAATAGAGTCTGGTAAGTGTCCAGGAATATGTCAACTTGGGGAATTAAAAAGACTTTAGAAATAAGGTCATTCACATAGAAGATATTGGGCTTCCATGGAGCCAAGTCCAGGGCAGTGCAATGCTGGTTTAGGTCAACTGAATATAAAGTAATATATGACGTGGCTCATTAGGATCAGCTTTGTCTCTCCTACCGAGAAACCTGAGGTTTCATCACGCATCTCTTTCCTTTAGATCTCCTAAAGGTCAGCAATGAAAAACAGGACGTTTTCTGAGTTTATTCTGTTGGGCTTCACAAATCAACCTGAGGTCCAGGTTGTGATATGCATCTTTCTGTTCCTCATCTACGTGGTAAGTGTCCTAGGAAATCTGACTATCATCATTCTCACTCTAGCAGACCCTCACCTCCAGACTCCCATGTATTTCTTCCTCCGGAATTTCTCCTTCTTAGAAATTTCCTTCACGTCCATTTTCATTCCCAGATTTCTGACCAGCGTGACAACAGGAAATAAAGTCATCAGCTTTGCTGGATGCTTCATTCAATATTTTTTTGCTATATTTCTTGGGGCAACAGAGTTTTACCTCTTGGCTGCCATGTCCTATGACCGTTATGTGGCCATCTGCAAGCCCCTGCATTACCTGACCATCATGAGCAGCAGGGTCTGCATCCAACTCGTGTTCTGCTCCTGGCTGGGGGGATTCCTAGCTATCTTACCCCCAATCATCCTGATGAGCCAGGTGGATTTCTGCGCTTCCAATGCTGTGAATCACTATTTCTGTGACTATGGGCCCCTTCTGGAGCTGGCCTGCTCAGACACAAGCCTCCTAGAAGTGATGGTCCTCTCTCTGGCAGTTGTGACTCTGGTGGTTACGCTGGTGCTGGTGACATTTTCTTATACATACATTATCAGGACCATTTTGAGGATCCCTTCTGCTCAGCAAAGGACAAAGGCTTTTTCCACCTGTTCCTCCCACATGATTGTTATCTCCCTCTCTTATGGCAGCTGCATGTTTATGTACATCAATCCCTCTGCAAAAGAAGAAGGTGCCTTCAACAAAGGAATGGCTGTGCTCATTACTTCAATTACTCCCTTGTTAAACCCCTTCATTTACACTCTAAGAAATCAGCAAGTGAAGCGAGCATTCAAGGACACCATCAAAAAGATTGTGAAGCTTTAAAAGACAATACATTTCCATGAAAAATATATTTCACTTACTAAATGTGAGTTGAGTATCTACTATGTTTCAAATGCTGAACTGGCCCTTGAGGATGAATATATGAATGACATATGTCCTAAGTTCAAGGAATCTGCAGCCTAGTAAGACAGAAAGGTGCTAAGTTGTAAATTCATGTAGTAAGTTGACAAAAAATAAAAGAACATGGTAGGGTGCTATTAGAGAAGAAAAATGAGAATCTATAAAAAGAACAGATGGAGGGAGTTAACTATTTTCCAGAAATGACTTGAAATTTTAGAGGCAACACGTATTGCTTTTTTAGAAGAGTGGAAAGATAAGAATTTACAGTGAGAAAGAGAGGCCATCATGAAGGTATTTTTTAATTTCAAACTATGGAGTTAGTTGACATGGTGAGTCAAGAGAAGTTTTAAGAAAGGAAGTTATATTATCAGCATTATTTCGAAGGAAATCTGACATTGGCATTGTTCTTCCTCATGGAGCCCTGGAGACTATGCTTCGGACAGTGTCAATAAATTGATTCTCCTTCCCTTTGTCATTCATCTTTCAACTGTAGCCATTACAACTTACATCCTTCCCTAAAGGAAAAAAAAAAGAAAACGATATACATTTGATCCACTTTTCTCCAAATGAGGTGAAAACCCCCAAGATTTTGTCAACTTACACATCCATTTTCTAGAAGTTGTGGTTAGAAGAGGCTTCTAGAACCAAGGTTAATAGCCTCCTGCTTCTAGACAGGATCTATTGCTGCTTTTCTTAGCTAACATCTTTTTAAGTTAATGGCTGAGATCTCCCACTCTCTCTCTTTGGTAGTTTCTGGTGATTTCTTTTTCTATTGTAATCTTATTTCATCTGTTTGTTTACTTTCGTTAGATATTAGGACAAATTCTGTGATATGACTCCATTCTTTTAACTTTTCCCCAAGTTTTTGTTTTTGTTTACAACATAAGCCATGGATGCCTGTTTCATAAATGGATAATGAATATAAAATAGTAATATGGTTTTATATTTAGAATTTAGAATGTATGAGTCTTAGCAACCAAATGGGAATAGACTACCCTACCAAGAACTCTATACATGGTTTCAAAGTAACAACAGCTTGAATATGAACTGGTGGTGGTAGGGCCTCAACTTAAAAGGATGAAGAACATTTTTAGAAATCTGAGTACTTGCACATAGTTTAATAATATCCCCATGCATTGCAGAATGCTGGTTATTGTTTGAGTTACAAGTGGAACATCATCTTGTGTGTTCATGTGCTTTATATATGGTAATATTGTTCACTGGGATGATGCTTCTTGGGCATTTAAGAAACAAACTGTATTGGACTGGTTATGAGAGAAAATTTCCAGAACCACAGAAAATATTGAAGAGTGCATGGTATTTTGAATAAAAGGTGTTTTATGGAAAGCCATTGTTATTTTGAATATCTGAATTTCTTTGCTGGCTAAGCTAGAGATTAGTGATGATTTTTAATTTATTACAAATTGTTGGGGAACATCATCAAAAGGACATAACCCCGCTAAGCTGGGCCGGGGCGGGGCATGGTGACCACAGGCTCCTTGCCCCCTCTGCTGTGCTTGGAATGTGGGTTCCCCTTGCCTTTCCCGCTCCCAGGGGCTGCTGCAAGGACACAGCCTTGAGGTAGTGATGTGGTGTTGACAACACCTGCACCATATACATGACTGAACCCAGCAAGGGTCTCTTTATAAACTCTTAAGATGCAGCGGGCGGGTGCAGGGATCCATTCGTCTTGCTGCCAGCCAAGACAAGGATCTTATGTAAGTTCCCTCTGCTTATTAAAACTGCCACCTTCCCACCTGGAGTGGCCTCCTCTTTCTTCTGTCTCTCTCTGCCCTCTGAGAACGGGGGCCAGTTTCAGATTTCACCTGGGAAGCTCACAAGATGGTCACAAACCAATACAAATTCACTGAGCTATCAACTGATATAGAAATGTTCTTAAATAACCACATTTCAATCATTAGGTTCATCCAAATCCACATTTCTACCAGAATCTATAATGAAGTGGAACACAATGCCATATAGTGGTCTAAAATATAGGCTTTAGTTCAAATCCCAGAGTCTCAACCTTCTACAAGAAATGCCTTGGGATTGTTACTTGACCTCACTAAGGCTTGCTTTTCTCAAACTCAAAAAAGAAAATAATAATCGTGTCTATCATATATAATAATTTTGAGCATTAAATGAGATAATAAGTGTAAAACATTTTAAAAGCCAATACTTAAGTGTTTCATAAGTGATACCCATTACAACAGTATGAACACTATCCTTCTCAAGAAACTGGGGCTTAATTAGTAAGAATAGATATTAAATTGATTGGTTTAATATAATGGGACTATAAACATGTTGGCCATTCTACTTGAAATCCCTCTGCAGCAAGACCAGCTTATTTACATCTCTTATGTTCAGTTGCATCCGTTGGTAGCCAGACCAATGAAGGTCTTATCCACACTTCACATAAAGCCAATCAGAACATTTGGCAGGAGATTATTAGAAATGACTACATCAACTCCATGTGCCCTGGAGATCTCTAAGTATGCTGAGATAAGGAAGGAAGGTACTTGGTGTAAGTCAAAGTCCAAGAACACTAAGCAGGGCTTCACCCAGCCTTCATAATATAAGCATCTAGAAATTAATTTGGGGGATGCCTGAGTGGCTCAGTCGGTTAAGCGTCTGCCTTCTGCTCAGGTCATGATCCCAGGGTCCTGGGATTGGGTCCCATGTCAGGCTCCTTGCTCAGCGGGGAGTCTGCTTCTCCCTCCGCCTGCCGCTCCCTCTGCTTGTGCTCTCTCTCCCTCTCTAACAAATAAATAAACAAAATCTTAAAAAAAAATTAATTTGGGAGGGAACATATCACCCTCTAAATGAGCTTGTCAAAAAAAAAAAAAAAGACAGGTCATCCTCTTCTGAAACTGTTCACTAAACTGGCTTTATGCTAGCACACACTTGTAATATAATCTGAGTCACAGATAAGCAAAGGAATGAGTTTCCTGATCTGAAGCTGAGCCTTTGGAATGTTCAATTTCTAAATGTATGAGTTGGTGGGCTTTATTCCTGCTGTCATCACTGTAGACAAGAATCAAAAGAGGGAGGCCTGGGTGGCTCAGTGAGTTAAGCATCTGCCTTCAGTTCAGGTCCTGATCTCAGGGTCATGGGATCAAGCCCCACATCTGGCTCTTCACTCAGCATGGAGTCTACCTGTCCTTCCCCCTCTCCTACTGCCCCTCCCCCTGCTCTCCTGCTCTCCTCTAAAATAAATAAACTAAATCTTCTTTTTAAATAAATAAATAATAAATTTATCCAGAAGGTCACAAACCAGGGCTTAACCTTCTGTTCATATGCATCACTAGACAGTAGAGCTAAAGCTATACAAAGATCACGAGTTCAGGTGCCAAAATAACCACCCATCTTAGGAATATATCCACTGGGGGAGAGGGTCAAGATTCCATACCAAACAACACAGGATGCAAAGAAGAATTACTGGAACGGAAACAGCAAGAATGTAAAATAAGTATAATTTCAAAGCTGTAATCATCAAGACAGTATGGTACCGGCTCAAAAACAGACACATAGATCAATGGAACAGAATAGAAAGCCCAGAAATGGATCCTCAACTCTATGGTCAACTAATCTTCAACAAAGCAGGAAAGAACGTCCAATGGAAAAAAGACAGTCTCTTCAACAAATGGTGCTGGGAAAATTGGAAAGCCACATGCAGTGGAATGAAACTGGACCATTTCCTTACACCACACACAAAAACAAACTCAAAATGGATGAAAGACCTAAATGTGAGACAGGAATCCATCAAAATCCTTGAGGAGAACACAGGCAGCAACCTCTTTGACCTCAGCCACAGCAACTTCTTCCTAGAAACATCACCGAAGGCAAGGGAAGCAAGGGCAAAAATGAACTATTGGGACTTCATCAAGATAAAAAGCTTTTGCACAGCAAAGGAAACAGTCAACAAAACCAAAAGACAACCAAAAGAATGGGAGAAGATATTTGCAAATGACATATCAGATAAAGGGCTAGTATCCAAAATCTATAAAGAACTTACCAAACTCAACACCCAAAGAACAAATAATCCAGTCAAAAAATGGGCAGAAGACATGAACAGACATTTTTCCAAAGAAGACACCCAAATGGCCAACAGACACATGAGAAAGTGCTCAACATCACTCGGCATCAGGGAAATCCAAATCAAAACCTCAATGAGATACCACCTCACACCAGTCAGAATGGTTAAAATTAACAAGTCAGGAAACGACAGATGTTGGCGAGGATGCGAAGAAAGAGGAAACCTTCCTACACTGTTGGTGGGAACGCAAGCTGATGCAGCCATTCTGGAAAACAGTATGGAGGTTCCTCAAAAAGTTGAAGACAGAGCTACCCTAAAACCCAGCAATTGCACTACTGGGTATTTACCCCAAAGATACAAATGTAGTGATCCGAAGGGGTATGTGCACCCCAATGTTTATAGCAGCAATGTCCACAATAGCCAAACTATGGAAAGAGCCAAGATGTCTGTCAACAGATGAATGGATAAAGAAGATGTGGTATATATATACAATGGAATATTATGCAGCCATCAAAAGGAATGAAATCTTGCCATTTGCAACGATGTGGATGGAACTGGAGGGTGTTATGCTGAGCGAAATAAGTCAGTCAGAGAAAGACATGTATCATATGACCCCACTGATATGAGGAATTCTTAATCCCAGGAAACAAACTGAGGGTTGCTGGAGTGGTGGGGGGTGGGAGGGATGGGGTGGCTGGGTGATAGACACTGGGGAGGGTATGTGCTATGGTGAGCGCTGTGAATTGTGTATGTTGAATCACAGACCTGTACCTCTGAAACAAATAATACATTATATGTTTAAAAAAAAAAAAAAGAAGAAGATAGCAGGAAGGGAAAAATGAAGGGCGTGAAATCAGAGGGGAAGACGAACCATGAGAGACCATGGACTCTAAGAAACAAACTGAGGGTTCTAGAGGGGAGGGGGGTGGGAGGATGGGTTAGCCTGGTGATGGGTATTAAAGAGGGCACATATTGAAG